CTACCTACCTACCTACCTACCTACCTACCTACCTACCTACCTACCTACCTACCTACCTACCTACCTACCTACCTACCTACCTACCTACCTACCTATCTATCTATCTACGTGTGCCACTGACCAGCCCCCTGTTCACATATACATCCAGTCGTTCATATATATAAGCAGGCAATTCATTCATCGACATACCTGGGGTTTCTTCGTGTGAAACTTACGGACTGACTGATTGATTGACTTGGAAAGCCACACATTTAGTTAGCTACAGTGCTTTCACTCCAGATGTGTGAAGAGGAATGCTCGGGTCAACGAGTAAGTATATCAAAGATGAATTGAACCATCACTTGACACCTGGACAGAAGAGACAACGGTGACGACTAGTTTCGTGGATTGATGCACATGGCCTATCGTCTGCGGTGATTGCTATGAGCTATCCGGTGAGGCCAAGTGACATACATGGCATGAGCGCATAAAAAACACAATAGCCAAAGCTCTACCCATATCCTGTCCTAGACCGGTCATGCCTGCATGCCTGGAACTGATGGTCGAATATAATGCTCTCATACCACCCATATCCCGTCATACGTATTGCACAGTAAACCGAGAGAACTCCATTGATATTGCCGGGAATGCAAGGCTCGAACCGCCATAAAACCATTTCCTCATTTGATGCAGACTAGGGGCTGTTGGATATGATTCAACTGAAATAGCCTCGTGCAACTCGCAATTGAAGAGCATATGGGGGTGTTGTACCGCTGTGCTCGAACTCCAACCTCTTCCTTGTAGATGGGATATGCAATGCCTGGCTCGGACTGTAGCTAAAGAGCTGAGCGAGTGTTGTTCGCAAGCAAGAAGGTCGACTGATGTTCGGGGTGTTGGGGAATCATGTCGCCGTCGAAAACAAAAGAAAACAAGATAGAAAAGCTCATCGGCTACCAGCTGGATTTTCCACATCGAAGTCCATCTCGAACGCCGTAAACGCCGCCGCCTCGCGGGAGTAACAAGTTTGTTCTTTGTAATGAAGGTGCAATTTGTCCATTGTAGAAAATCGTCGATCGTGCTTCCAATCTTGACAATTACACATGCGGTTGTCGTACCATGTGTGGGTTTTCTCTTTGGATATGCTGAGTTGTCCGTGTAAACTTGCCACTTGGTGCCTCTAACGCCGGGTTTCAGGGTGGATTGACCTCTTTGTGAATTTGTAAATGCTGTGCAACCGGGTGTAATGTGTGCTCTGGAACAAAAGACTTTCGTGGTCATCATAGGATATGATAGAGCGCAAATCAGTGGCCATAAATGCCAAAGTACTGCTCAACACCAAAAGCTCCTGGCGCCTTGTAAGTAGCATCATAGGCCTGGAACAGGAAGATACCGCCTGGATTCGAGCTGAATGCATCCTTGAGAGAAGAGATCGCACTCGCCTGGTTGGCAGGGGATGGGACAGCCTGGCCATTAGGTGATCCTTGGTATGGCCAGCCGGACTCCGTGACGATGACTTGTTTGCCGTTTGCCTTCTGGGAGATGGGGGCAATCACGCTCTCAACAAAGGTGCCTGCATTATTGGCCGCTGTGTTAGGATCAAAGAAGGCGTGAGCGTTGACGGCGCAAAAGTCGGATGATTGACAGATCTGTGGATTATTCTGATGCGCGGTGAAAGTATCCACAGCGACAATGTTCTTGTTGAACCCAGCAGCCTGCAGAATGGGACGAGCCACAGCGAGAGCAGCGACAACAGCAGCGGCAGAACCACCGGCATTGACCACTTCATTCCCAATGACGATAGTGTCGACAGGACCCCAGTTTCCGTTGATCATGCCAATCAGCGTGCTCAAATCACCAGCAACGTTGCCGATAGTATTAAGACCCAGCATAACTTGCAGACCTTGAGCAGCGGCAGCGGCTGTGGCCACACTAAGATCACAGCCAATGTCGTAGAAGCGAATTTTGGAGAATCCTTGATTGGCCAAGAAGCCAAACTCGGAATCCATGGTGCCACGGTCCTTGCAACCATTGCTGCCGATGAGTTCGTAGCAGATACCATAGCCACCGCCAGCTCCGGCACTGGCTCCACCCTTGACGCCTTTGTATGAGTTCCCTTTGTCAGCTGCAGCAGCGACGCTTTTTTCAGAGGAGGGGGTATCAGAAGAAGTCGAGGGCTGAATGACGCTCACGACTGGTGGAGGAGAAGAAACTGCAACTTGGGAAGAAGGAGCCGGCGGGGCCGGGGGGGCAGATTCGGGGGTGGGAACTAGGACAGAAGCAGGTGATTCAGACGCATGAGAGGCTGACTCGACATGAAAGGGTGAAGCGCGGCCTGGAGGCGGAGTATATGCAGTCGGCACGACCACAGGAGTTGCAGCGGATTGCGAGGCGACAGTGGTTGGAGTTGGGTGATCACGGTATTCGGTGGACAGGACATTGTTGTACTGATCAACCCAGACGACAGCATTGTTGGCCGTGACAGTAACGACGTCAGTGACAGTCGCAAAGTCAGTCTCTATGTGGTGGCGCGCAGGATGCTGATGTCGATGATTGCCTCCTATGTCACAGGTAAGCTTCCAACTAGAGCACGTCGGAGACGATGAGAGACTCACCATGGGGAATTGCCAGCACGACCGGGGCGCACAGAGCAGCCAGATGCAAGTTTGTTGCTCTCATGATGGACAGGCCAACGGACGAGAACTGGTTGGAGCAGTGAAAGGAGCGTCGGGACCTATATGGGTGGAAAGCGAAAGTAGTAAGCACTCTGTCGCACCGACCGGCGGGTCTTGAAAAGAAGGGAAGCTTGTCACAGGGTTGACAAGGTGTATAATGATCTTGTATAGAGGAAGAGGGAGATTGTCAGTCGGTGCCCACTTGGCCCATGCACCGTCATCGACGGCTTAAGTAGCCGCCTTTTGTTGGCATAGGCGACGACTAGACAAAGCACAGACAATGATGATGGATATCTGGGCTGTGTCCAGAACGCTGCTTCTGGGAGAGACGAAGAATGTACAAAGGCTTCAGGAGCGACTCACAACGCGAGACGCGCCGGAAGCGTTGTTTTCCCTCCTTTGGTAGCTGCGAACAGGGATATAGACATCATGGCGGAGACGACAAACAAGGAAATGGACCAACTCACCGGTTTGATCTGAAAGGAGTGACTTGATGAAGTCGATAGAGATGGGGCACAGGTCGCGGAAGAGTGAGATTGAATGTCGTTGTTTGGTTATTGCGGAATCCAGGAATGTCGGTTGGAATCCGGGTCCTGAGCGGCAGAATTTATATCTGGCACCACTGTCACTTCACCATCTTTTCACCTTGGCGAAACCGCTCAGAGTATCACTCGGCCTGATCAGCTGCTGCAAGGCGAGCCGGGTAAACACGGTCATACATGGGCAACAACATGGTAAACCGAACTTGACCATGTGCTGTGGAGGGAAGCATTTTCGCGTCACCTCGATCACTTCTAGGCCCGAGTCTGGCCTCTATTTTGTATCTAGTGCCGTTCGAGCTGTCGAGAGAAGTGTCATACTAGGCTGTCAGTGTCACTCAAGGCGAGCCTTTCTCCGAGTATGATGTTGATGCAATGTAACTCGACCCGTGAGCATATACCTACCTTCTGTTGTTGGGTATCTTCTTGCTTTCGACCGGTCAGTCAGTAAATTATCAGCAACTCCATCTCAATAGGGCTTATAACGTTCCATACTCAGAGCCTCTGGATCGATTAGACCAAAGAAGCCATCATTGGAAACGAAATTGGGAATTTGCAGTTGCACTTCACTAGAGTGCCACCGACTGCGCTTGAAACTCAATACACCCCAACAGTAACAAGTGCAATTTACACAGGCCTAGTGACCCATGGCGGTACACACCCGCCATCGAAGAAGCCCTTGGAGTATGAGACGAGGCGCAAACCGAGAGTTGACGTTGACTCTCGAGTCGGAAGGGAGTTTCAATCTTGGCCGGACTAGGTTTAGCCCAGACATTATACAGCCTCGTCAGCCGCCCCGTCAGCCTCGCCGGTCCGCCTTATTTCCCCACAAAGTGATATAAATAGATTACATACTCCCAATGTTCATGCATGCATTTGATCTATCCGGTATCATCAGTCATCACCTTGAATCGCTCTGGTGCCCGCAGTCATTGTCTTCCTGTCCTAGACTCCCATAGACGTCGTTCCGGCTATGCCAAATCTTGTCCTCTCACAAAGCCCCGGAAAAAATGAGTTGCAACCCAATCGTCAACCGCCTCGTTCACCGTAGTCTCTGGCCCACTTCTCAAACTCTTCCAATCCCTTTTTACTCACACTCGGTCGAATGCTAGCCAAACTGGCTTCGAAATCCATCATCTGAATTGGCCGAATCTGCTCCTTGGGAGTGTACAGCAGGGCTTCGCCGAGATGCCTCAAGGGGCCCATGGCGGCGTCTTTCGCAAGAGCTGTAATGTCGGATCCAGAGTAACCTGATGCGGAGCAGTGAGATTAGTGTGACAAGAGTAGGGTCAGGAGCGTTCAGGAACTTACCCTCCGTTAGCTCCACCAAGCGAGCGATGTCCTCCGGCCCTAGATCATGCTTTTGATGCCCAAGTAACGTTCGAATTTGTGTCTCCCTGGTTTCTGCCTCTGGCAAGGGAATGTACTGTCTTCTCACGAATCGCCGCCTCGCTGCATCATCAATGTCCCACGGGCAATTTGTCGCTGCAAGCACCAGCACTCGACTAGCGTCCCCCACAGTCGTATCCTTCCCAGCTGCTGCTCTTTGCAAGTCCGACCACTGAATGAGAAATTCTGTCTTGCTCCGCCTCGATGCTTCGTGCTCGCTCGACCCGCTTCTGGCACTTAACAGGGAATCGATCTCATCGACGAAAATGATACTCGGCGCCAGAGCCTTCGCCAGCGCAAACAAGGCTCGGACGAGCTTCTCTGACTCACCATGCCACTTGCTCGTCAGACTACTAGCACTGATGGCGAAAAATGTGCTTTTGCTTTCAGTAGCGACAGCCCTTGCAAGCATGGTCTTACCGGTCCCTGGTGGGCCGAACAGGAGCATCCCTCGCGCAGGCTCTCGCAACCCCATAAACAGATCCGGTCTAAGAAAAGGGTATACCACTGCCTCCTTTAACGCCTTTTTGGCAGCAGAAAGCCCGGCAACGTCATCCCAGTGAACTTCATCCCCCTTGACAACAATTTCGTTGATGATCTGCTTGGCGGCGTTTTCATCCACTCCTTTGGGCAAATTTTTGAGAATGTTCTCCATTCTTTTCTCCTCTGGGGACAGACCATCCTCTTCGGGAGACTCCCCATCCGTGGAGGGTGGAGTGATTGTGTTGGCACTCGCGGTCCTGTTGCCACGGCCTCGTCTGGGCCTGTCAAGGTTTCGTTTAGGTGCGTCGTCTTCGCTGTCAGAATGTGGATCCCTTTTTTGGGGAGAGCGACCTCTTGTCTCAAGCGCTGTCCCCGCCGCACCAACTGGTTTGCGGGATATTCCCGTCGCACCACCAGAAGATCCAACTTTTGGGTAAGCTCTCTCAAGGATATTTCTCGCGAGAGGCTGGGGCACGTTATGTGCTCGCGGAGGATACTCTCTTCGATAGGTAATCTCTGGTGCTTTCGGCAAATGAACAGGAGATCTGGTTCTTACTTGGGGATTCGCTTGGCCGACGGGTGACATATGTTGTGAAATCGGAGGCGTCTTCTCAGGTTCCGAATCGAGGTCGATCAGGCTAGGTGCGGAATCTGGATTCAATTTTAGGCTTTCCATAGATTTGTTGATTGATGATGGTGGTGGTGCAGAAGCCGAGGTTGGGATGTCACGCGTGGAATGCTGTGACAAGTAATCAGGAACACTCAGCAGAGACGACGCATTTGACTTGCGTTGCTCTTCGTATCTGGCTGTCGCATCTTGGTCAATACTCCGTCTTGCAGCTGTTGCGCTGAGTCTGGCTTCGATCGTGGGGTCTGAATCTGGCCTCTGGTTGGGCTGAGAGTTCTTCCGTGGCTGAGATTCCCATGCCAGACCAGCTGCTTTCATAGTCTCTGTTCTTCTGTCACGGTTCGAAGTTGATCGATACTTCATGAACCCCCTCCTCTCCGGGCGTAGTGTTGTCCGCATCGTTTTCCTGCCATGATCGGGACTAGGACTTCTTGAGGCCTTCATGCTCGGGACGGGTAAGGTGGGAGGAGGACCCAAAGGCGACGACCGAATCCGTGAAATAGGGGAAGTGCTGTCATGTGCCACGGTCTCGCTACTCCTGGTAACACCCAGTGGTGGACGTGGAGGCAATGCGGGTGTCGCATTGGGTAGCTCAGACATTTGCATTGGTGGTATCGTCTCTCCTCCAAGCCACGAGCCAGGCTGTTCAGACGTCGGGGGCGTGGATATCGACGGGTGTCCTCTGTTCTTCCCGAGACGCTTCCTTCCACTGCTGCCATTGCCGCTCATATTTCCATTGCCATTGCCGCCTCCGCCTCCGTTCTTTGGTTCTGTCCTGTCTTCCTTACGAGATTCTATGCCCAACTCTTCCCGGCTTCTCTTCAAAGTCTCCAGGAGATCGACTCGTTCCTTACACTGTATCTCCAGTTCTCGCAGGGAGTCGTATAGCGCCCGCTCTGTTTCCGACCGGGGAGAGTAATTCGATGAGAGTTTGTAGGCCCTGTAATGGACGATTTGGTCGAGCGCTGCCTTCCATGATCGGAGAGCCTCGGTCTCATTGCTCTGTGAGGTGCCACTGTGTTAGTGCAAGGTTATGGAGTTGGAACATGGCGTTTGCATTACCTGGCCTTCGAAAAAGACCGCCGTAGAACATTGCAGATACGCCTCATCGTAAGTCTTTTGCATTGACGAGGAAGGCTTGCTCCGCAACATCTTGTAGGGATTGCGAGGATGCGGACATGCTCAGGCCAGACAGAAGAAGAGGACGAAGTTATGGCATAGGACTTGTGACTTAATCGGGCGTGTGCAGCGAACGATGGCTGAGCCTCGAAAGGATCTGTCGAAATGGGCCAGAAGGCGATGCGCAAGGACAACCGCAAACTAGGCACTCGAGTCCCGCTGTCCGTTGCCCGCTTCCCACTCAACCCACTGTCCCAAGTACACAGCCTGCCCCCCATACGTCACCTGAACAATAACAGTTGCCCTGCAACCCCCGTCATACGAGTCCGCATTAAACACGAGGCTCGTCCTTTTGCTTGCGTGAGGCCTTCCAGATTCGCATTACCTCTAAAAGACTTTACATGCGAGATGGCAACTGCACTGGCAGAACAAGGCACGTGGACTCTTGCAAATAAGGTAAACACCGGCACGACCACCACCAACACACTATCGCTCACATAGCATCTTCAATTCTCATTGCTGATTAGCCTGGTCTATCAGATGGAAAGAGACCGACAAACAGCTGGTCGAAACGCTCAATCCCATCCCACTTTTGGTGTTATGCCATAGATGTACAGTATTATCCCAAAGTCCCTGTCCCCCAGGCATTGACAGGTGAAAAAGGGCAAGGACCAGCGCCCCTGCTCCCGTTGCCATAACGCCCTTTATTTTTTGCAAATATGCATGAGCCCTTCCTGCCATGGCAAAGGTTCAGCATCCTCTGTCGAATAGAAATGATTGTGATCATGCTTGAACAGTAGACACAAGTATGAGTACCGCGGCCGACGACCTCCCAAACGCATCTCTTCTGGGTATCTTGTATGCGCAAGGATGTTATGAAATACCATTGACGCGCACTTCGCAAGAGGCATTAGATCATGCTTAATCCCTCATTGATTCTGGGAGACGGAACTGCTGAAGCGATGTGCGTTGAACACGAGATCGATCATAACTTATTGGTATGAGATGTCTGTTCTTCCCGAAGCGTCCTCTTGAAGTAAGCCTTTGCCATTTCATATGACGACCTAAAACTTTGTCAGATTGTAAGGATGTAGACAGGGACCATTCTGGCCTTACCAGCAGATGGCGGTGCTTGGCATGGTGGTGATAATTCGAGGCCGCCAACCTCTCATAAATCCCCTCCAGCCGAACTCTTTCTTGATAATGGACGCAGCGTGGACTAATCCTCGTACATTGCGTATCTCGGCTTGTTGACTCAATCCTCTCGTCTGGAGCAAAGTCTTGATCACATCCAGCGGAGTGGTAATGCCGGCCGCAAAGGCTCCGGCCAAGCCACCAGCCACGCAATGTGTAATCGGATCATACTCTTTCCGGGGATTCATGACTTTGGAGAGAGATTCGTAGGCCATGAATTGCGTAGCCGTGAAGGGAACTGTCATACATAGTGTCGTAGGGTAGGATACGTAGAACGCAGAAAGACCCTCAGCGCGCCAGACGGAACGTGCGCATTGCGATATCGACCGGTAGGTCGATCCATGTACCTGCATCCGTTGTTTTATGACTGTCGCAGACGGTCAGCATCATGTCGAGGATTTTTGTGCAGAATCTAGAATAAGTCTATACCATCAAAAGGATTCATCAAAGCGTCACTCGCAATGGTTGCGCACGCTCCGCTCGCAGCTGTAATTTCCAGTTAGCACCTCGGCCGGCAACATTGCATGCCCGCCAACTCCAGAGGGACATACCAGCAGCGAGAGGATGATGTTTGCCATCTGCTTTGTTCCCACCTGCAAATTCTTTCACCACTTCGTAGGTGCCAAAATATACGGCATGAGCAGGGCCTGTTATCGATGATTAGATTCGGACGCAGTCTGTGTCGGTCGGATTTGACGACGCACCTGCACCGACAATGACACTGGTCACTCCTCTCCATAGCGTCCGCAGGCCTTCTATTCGATATATCGTAGAGACTGCATGTGAAAGCCCCGTATACAGGCCGCCGGCTGCAGGGTTTATGATTTGCATCCGTGTCTGATTTCAATATCGCATTAGCTTGTATTCCTCGCCAGTGCCGGAAGGTAGACAACTGTGTACCTTCATCAAGTCCACCGGATACATGACTGTATGTTCCTGAGACAATTGTCAATCTTTTATCTCTATCTCTTGATTTCCTTTTGCGTACAGCAATGCCTGCGAACGCGCCGGCCAACATATTGTGTCCGAGACCGTAGTTTGGTGGTAGAGCTTCATACCTGCGAGAGTGTCAGTGCTGGTTCTCACCATTCTCGACAAAAAAAAACACCACTTACTCATATTCTTCACCAGGTACTGCATCCGGGCTGCTCGACACTGACATATTCTCCGCGGGCAATGCCGCTGGGAATTTGGCTGACGCCGCCACGGTTGCAGATGGTATTTTTGTGCCTGCGATCTGCAATCGTTCCACCGAGGACGAGAGGGTTGCTTGGAATAGCAAAGGAAGTGAAACGACAAATCCTGCGTGACCGGGAGAACGGCTCTTGCGAACAGGGTATGTCGAAGTGAGTGTACAAGTAAAAAAATCGAACCACAGCAATATCAAGTCAGAGCCAGGGCGAAATAATGGCCCGGGCGAGGCACTCAGATCGCTCCAAAGATTTTGGGTCGACCTCACGGCTGCTGCTTAGAATTTTGAGCCAGGGTCTCTTAAGCTTGGGGCTGGCTGGGGTTAGCTAAGATGGCTGGTTGGTTGACGGGCACTGCGGCTTGACAAAGAGTTCACCATCAATGACGCCCCTAGGTGACTCGGTGACTCTAGAGTCCTTCTTTTGGGACACGCACTTGGGTTATGATGCCTACCTACTCGTACAGTACAGAGGTCTTACTACTCCCCCTGCCTGCCCTTGGCCGGGTCACCTCCGCGGTCTGTCCGTGAAGGTGTCGTATGAAAGCTGCCACTCTGCGGGCGGCGGCGACTCCTTCGCTTTGTCTTCCGATCTCGCTCTCTGCTCGCTGTCTAACTCCTATTCTGGCATCGTCTCCCTCGCCCTCGCCTCGGCGTCAACCTTCTTGCTCGGTCGTAATTCACCGACATCACAACAAGGTACTGTACATTCGGTCTCCCAGGCGGGGTTGAAATCGCCCTTGTATTTTGTGTCTAGGTACCTCGTACGTTAGTGATGACTATCCCTACTAACTGTCGGAAAAGTAGCGACTCCTCCTACGTCGCTATATTTCCGTCCCTCCACGTACCGCATCCACAAAATGAGATTTTTGAAAAAGCGGTTATTCATGTGTCCTCGGTATAGCGCATTCCTAATGTCTGTCGCAACTAAGGGAATACACTGTATCGCAATACACGTAGACTCACTCTTGAGAAGTTCCAGCTGCCAACCCCCTCTCGTTCCAGACATGCACTCTGTTCTGAATGAGTAGGAAAGTAATAAGCCGACCCTGCTCCATGCATGAATAATGCTCCCAACGCCCTCTACCGTAACAAAACTCTCGAGTCAAGTGAAAAAGCCCTTGATCTGAGCGCCATCCGTTCATGACAATGCATCCAAATTAGCCTTTCCATCAGGGAACGCCTCGCTAGCACAGCCGTCAACCTGCCGCCAAGTTGGTCATGCGTATCGCCGTTAGCTATCTAGGTATTTATGATATATCATAGTTCAACATTGAACTTCCATTGGTCTGTCACAATCAGTCAGCAAAAAGTCGCACCAAATTATTCGGGGTCAACAAACCTTTCTTCAGATTTTCGGCAGTGTCGCTCAGAAGGATCTCTCGTCTCCGGTTGCAGTAGGTTGTCTTGTCCAAAATCTCAACCTTCAAGTTGCCGAGCTCATGCACGGGCTTCTCGAACATCTGACTCAGGTTTTCTACCGCCATTTCCAGATCCTTTTGATTGTCCTCGAAGATCTCTGTCATGTTATTGCGAGCAAGATAAAAAGCAAATGCATAGGTCCATTTCAAGGTCTGGCGACAATTTTGCAGGGCTTTGGAGGCAGTGTCGAGAAATTGAACTTCAATCCACGACATGTTAGATTGGGATTGGAGGCTTGTCATCTTCTTTTCGGTCTTCAGCCACAAGTCTTTGTCGAGTTTGGCCGACTGCTCGTGGTTGGCGTAACGGTTGTAATAGTGCAGATATCGTTCCAGCGAGTGTCGAGAACGTGCCTGAGCATCACGAGCATCGGTTCCTGACTTCTCCTCGAATCGGTTGCAATTGTACCAACTAGTTCCATGCTCCGACCAAGGGCCCATACACATCCAGCAAAACTCGTGTTTACATTTCCGGCAGGTCATATGATTGCAGCCTCCATTCTTCTCGATAGTTGAATTGCACTTCGGGCACTCCTTGGTGTTGGCGGAAATCCAGTTCGAAGTTTCCGAATCATCCTCGCACTTCTTCAACCATTTCTTGACGAGAGCACAGGGGGCCGGGCGGTGATCGGCAAGCGTGCACCCAAAGCAGAACATGTGGTCGTGAGCACAGCGGACAGTCGGGACAATCCGACTGAGGTCTCGTTTCCTCACAGGACAATCCACAGCATATTCACATTCGGGAGCCGGGCACCACTTGAGATTGTCCTTGTCGTCCACATATGTTCTAGTGAGCAGGACATGGTAGCGGTCCATGACACTCTGGTCAACCAACAGCCTCAAGGATTTGGAGTCGACGATCCGGTGGCAGCCATCGAAGGGGCATTCGATTCTAGCAGCTTCCCCTTCGTCTTTGACTTTCTGGGTCAGGTATTGGGTATAACAGGTGGTACAATATCTGTGGTCGCATTTCATGGCATACGTCTCCAGGTCTGGAGAGTCCTCAAAGCAGATCTCGCAAGTGAAACCCTTGACCTTCTTTGTCTTTGGTGCCTCTGTGAACGTGGGACCCAAGCCAGCGGCCTCGAGAACTTTGTCCTGGTTGTCCATGTATGATTCGATCAATTTCTCCTTGTTCCATCTCATGAACCGAAGAAGGATAGCGGTCTGTTCCACAGGTAACTCGATGATGGATGACACTTCCTTGAACTGTTGTTCTTGCTGGGTGT